CTGCAAGGTGTGGGGCAGGAGTGTAAACACTGGTGTCTCACCTCCCAGATAAGTGATCTGCTCAACTAGGCTAGATGATAGTCTGAATTGCGTTCAATTAATTAAATATTCATTGGAACAGATACTGTAGTCCTAGGCTTACTCTACTCAGATGAGTAAGTGACCAGTGTGATTATAGACTCAAATGCTGTCTCTGCTTTAATTTTCAACATCTGTTATAGTCACTGAATCCATTAAGTTGTGCTGATGAAAAATAATTTATTGCTGAAGTGTTTTGCTGGATTAGACTTTAAAGACAAAAAAGGGCGGAGTTCAAATCGGGCTTTGTGTGGGTTGTGCTTTTAATAGTGGAGAGGGAAGGTGCTTAATAAAGATTATTAGGAAGTCATTAAAGAAGAAAACAGTAACAAACAGGGAAGTCATCTGGGAGTAGACAGAAGTTGCTATACCTGTTGCTGAGTGGGACCTGTCAGAAAGAAGCATTGGGTAGAGTGTAGGAAGTTTCTAAACGAGTTGATTCTGTTGCCCTTTGAGCAGATCATGTAGAGCTGCATAAATGGAATAACATAGTGGTACCCATCTTGTATAGGTGTTTTAACTTAAACTAGAATTTTCAGTTAACGGCAGCCTAGAGCTGTAGTTTAAGTTTCTTGCTGTTGATAAGGCAAAGGGCTATCTTTGAGCAATATTTAATTTACTTCTGGAGAGCTTTTGTAGATTAATGATAACAAATGTCTACATCGCTGTTGATACGCTGTCTTACTGTTTAGTCACGTGGTTGGTGTGTTCTGTTGTGTTGATGTACCTTTCTAATGAGTTAGAGGGAGGGAAAATTTGAAACTGGTGTGTGCGTATAGTACACGTGATTGTATTTTTTGTGCTTCAGGATTCAGTTTACTTTTTTTGGTCTAACTTTGTTTTATCCTCGGTGTAGAAGCCAAATGCTGCTCTCGGCCATGGCAAGCTTCACCTGGAGTAATTCATAGCAAATTTTGATTTCATCTGCTTGATCTGAACGAATAAAGTTGTTTAGAATAAATTCCCTTCCAGTGTGGCTTACTCGTGTGAACCCTTTTACCGTGGTCATGAAAAAATATTACATGGAATGGCACATGCAAGATGTCTGCTGTCAGTGCAGGGGGCAAACCCCTGAAAGCCTTTGTTAGGAGTTGTCTGTCTGTGTGAGGAACCTTGTGAGTAAGATCTTTCCATGGCTGGACTTGGTTCTGTGAAGTGCCAAGGGCTCTCGCCTCCCGTTGTGAAAATGGTGTAATATTAACCAGCTTGTAAGATTTGTCTGTATTGTTTCAAACAGACCTCAAAGGTAGCCTGCCATTTCCCTGTTTCAGCTGCCAAATGTAACTCATAAGTTCTGATTAGATGACTGGATCACTTGTAATTACCAAGGCAGTATGTTATGGATAAAAGGTTTTGACATAGGTGAAATTCTCACCTTAATCACTGGTTTGTCTGAAGCTGAGGGAAGCTTGTTGGAACAAAAGTTAGTGTACTGGTTTTGCATAAAATTTGCACATGATAACTGGATAAATCAATCAGATGCTTATTTTAAAATTTAAAAATCTTAAAGACTAGTAAAAAGCATTATGGAAGTGTTAGCATACAGATTTTTTAAATTGTTATTATAAATGTAGACCCAGAAGGACTGGTCAGGCTATAACTAATCCCAAGCCCAGTCGTACCACTGAAATCCACAGCAGGCTCTCCCTGTTAAAATCCCACCCTCCCCTTCCTTCTTGCAGTTACAAACTGTTGCATCTCCAAAGCATTTTGGGAAGTTAGAGAGCAGCCTCAGCCGTGCCCCTTGGGATGATGGAAAAATGGAAATAGCCCGAGATTGTCTTCCATCGCAGGGTACCTCCTGCAGCACACTCGGGCTGCCGGGGCGGCAGCTCCAGGTGGCATCCCCTGGTGCAGAGCAAGGTGGGTAGTCCAGGCTGGCACAGTCACAGGGTTCCGAGCTGCTCCGCTCCCTCCCAGCCTGTGCAAGTCCAGCCTGCTTGGCTGGTATGGGAGGGAGGGCAGGCAGGCAAATCCGTGTTTGTACAGGAGCGAGGGAAATGTCTCTGCATCAAAGTTCTTTGGAAATGAAAGAATTTGAGTATCTTAAAAATAAGCATAATTTTATCGAAGTAAACATTCTTAGATTCTGTATAATATTCTACATATGATTAGATTGTCCTTTTGAATATTATAAAAGTGTATTTCAACTTAAAATGCTCTAGTTTTCTCAGTTCTGAATGTATTCCTCTGAGAACACATAGGTAACTAGATAAAATAACTTTACACGTTATCCTCTCTAAACTAGACAGTGTGAGTTATGTATTCTAAAGCCCTGTGGCAGCATGATTTAGTTCAGGCAGGTTTGTCCAGCTTTTCAGTAAATTGAAAATGTGTCTTTTCATTTCATGTACAGTGGTCATCTTGTTTTCACGTGCCATACGGTGGTAGTCAGCTCTGAATCAGAACAACTACTGCTCTCCCACGGTACTCGTATTGTCGGAGCACCAGAGCACTCCAGGACAGGCAGAGCCAGTGGTGGGAGGCTCAGAGGTGCTGGGAGTCAGGGGTATATACGCCTGCTGCGAAGGAAGTACCAGTGGGTGTTCATTTTTTAAGTATTTTACTTTTTAGTTCAAATTCTGTAGGTGTCAGAGTGACGTAGGTGTTGGGCTGTCTGTCCAGACCTCCATATTGTCTCTTTGGTGTTATGTCTTGATACAGAGAGTTCTGTTGGCGCCGGTGGGTTCCCTTCCTTGACGGCCCTACCTCAAGTATGCGGAACGTGGGAGGAGGAGTAATCAGCTTTCTAAGTTTTCTGCAGCACTTAGAATTTTGAGATTCCTTAATTATTGTGGTTGCCGCCGGTTTCTTTTCTGCTTTGATTTCTCTTTCCTGGTGTTATTATGATTTACTCTTGGGAGATTTGGAAAACCGCTTCAGGCTTCCTAAACTTATGCAACAGTTCACAACTGGAAATCTGACCTACTTCAGAGCTGCTCTTACCTGGTTAAGAATGTCTCTGAGTCTGAGCTGCAGCTACATAAACTTCCTGAGCACTGCCTACAGGTTAAGGGAAGAAGTGATTTATTATGAAAATTGGAAGTTTGTACTGTGAGGAAGAACAAATAGTATGCTGTAAACTTAACAAATTGCCCAGTCCTTAGGTTAGATTCAGTGGCAATTTTGCTTGCCTGGATAAAGACCTGGATGTGGAGACTTCAGGCAGTGTGTACGATTTGTTGTAACTGGTGGTGTCCACCAAATGGAAAACAGTGCCCGCAATCGCTTGTAGGCAGTGCTGGGAAAAAAAGGTGAAAAAATCTATTTGAAAATGAACAAAACTGCTGCTACTGATGGATGTCTGTAATGTAAAAAGGCAGATTTCATTTTTCATTCAAGAATGCGCAAATGTTCCATGTGGGCATCGTTGTTTGTAGGTGTCAGTTATGGAGTTTTGTGACCACTTTTTGTAGCAATTGCCACTGCTTGGTGCATTGGGGAGTGACCTGATGGCGTTTGTCGGCAGTTCCTCTGCCCTTTCGTTTCGGTGTTTAAGCAAAACACAAATTTTCTTCCCTTGGTGAAACAAAAAGTGTTTAAGATGTACATCCATTTACACCATCTGACCTTGATAGGTAACATGAAAGCCTGTAAGTAAAAGTGTCTGTGGAAGAGGGACGTGTGATCCTTGAAGACCTAGCCCAGAATGTCAGCTTTCGTTTGTATCCTCTCCTGTTGGCACTTACGGAAAATAAGGACTCATTCCCTCAGACCTGCGAAGAGGTGACGGAGAAGAAACCAACTTAGAGCTGAAAGTAACAGATTGCATACTGTCACCTTGTGTGTGGGTCCGTTCCTTTGGGGTGGAAAGGCCCTGGCTTTAAAACACTTCTAGGTGGTTTCGGGCTGTGGATCTCCATACGTTTGTACTTTGGGAATCCATGTAAGCCTGAGCTCTGAGCATAAAAGGTTTTAGAGATTAAAGTGCAGTAATCGCTGAATCTTTGCTTATTTTCTTCCTTGCAGGGCACTGTTCGAAGGATTATTATCGAGAATCCTGATCAGGTAGGAAAACTGTTCAGTGCTGGAGTTCTGCTCCTGTAACTCTTCGCCGCTTCATTATCCTGATGGGCAGAGTGCTCAGCAACCTCCGTCTGGGGATGCTAAATATGTTGAAATCACGTGGCTCATACCTTTGATGGGGAGAGACGACATTGTTAGGGAGCGAAAATACTACAGAATCGCCAGTCACGCTTCCTGCCTCTCAGCAGCTGAGTCTCTATTAATGTGCTTCACACATTGCCGGCGGAGAGGAATTTCAGTTTCTACTATGTTTATTCCAAATCCTGTCTAGGCAGAAGCACATTATGTTTCCAAATGGACATAAACTCAAATGTACATATCTTAAAGAACCATATCGCAGTGTATGTGTCTTCGAGTTACAAAAAAACCCTTATAATTTTTGAGTCAAAATTATACTAATTCTGAATTTGCTGTTTGAACACATTTATGGATGTTTTTATTAAAATGTTTTACAGGAGCCGTTATCCCCATTTCTTAGAGGGGCAAATTTCTGTCCTGGAAATAATGTCATCTATGAAAAGACAATCAGAAAGTACGAGCTATTAAATCCCCACCAAGTAAGTTGGTTGTTTATCTTACCTGCTGCAAAGGAAGATAGAGATGGTACTAGAAAAGTACTGTTTCTGGGTTGTTTGATTTTTTATTGGGAACTACTGCCAACCTGAGAATTGCCTTGTTGCAGTATAGGACACGTACACAAAGTAAAGGAAACACTTTCTGTATGCAAGAATAGCAGAAGTTGGAATGTTTGCTGTATTTTTATTAAGAATTTATTATTTCAGACTAACGGTGAAAACTGCTGTTGCATCTCTAGCACTGTCGGTCTTTATCTGAATATTGACTGAGAATTAGTTTCTTGCAGTAGCTTTACAACAGAATGACCGGTATCAATTTTTAGAAACAAATGAATTGAAAAGACAATTTTTTTTTTCTTTTTCTACTCCTTTTTTTTTTTTTAATTCCCCCTACTTATTCTTGAAAAAAATAAATTTGACAAAGCCGCCTGCAGTTTCATTGTAGAATTGGTGTTTTGTCAATAGCAAAAATATTACTCCATTTTTATTGCTCTGGAACACTTACTTCCAACAGCAAAAAAAATTGAAGTGAAGGGTATTTCAGAGTGATTGTCCTTATCTGTTTTTTTTTTTTTTTTTCTTTTTTAAACTGAAGTTTTCATGCCATTCTGGATTTTAGATAGATAAATTAGGTGCGATACCCATTCTCTGAAGTGGAAAAGGGGAAAAAAGAGATAATTATGATTAATAGCTTCTTTCTTTCCACAGATGGTGTGCAAAGAAAATAATAATTTAAAAAAAAAAGTGTGGAGCCTAGTCCTAGAAACCATATTTCTGCTTTGGTTTGTTGTTACCCAGGGTGTATCTGGATTTAAGGCAAATCAGCAGTGTAGTTTTGAAGGACATTTCCCAGTCTCCCACCACATACCGCTCGATAATTATGATTAATAGCTTCTTTCTTTCCACAGATGGTGTGCAAAGAAAATAATAATTTAAAAAAAAAAGTGTGGAGCCTAGTCCTAGAAACCATATTTCTGCTTTGGTTTGTTGTTACCCAGGGTGTATCTGGATTTAAGGCAAATCAGCAGTGTAGTTTTGAAGGACATTTCCCAGTCTCCCACCACATACCGCTCTTGACCGAAACCTGGTGTAAGGCCTCCTCAGCCGCAGAATGGCGGCGTTGGGTCCTCACTCTGCTCCTCTTGTGCCGCTGTGTAATGCAGAGTATCCGAGTTCTGATGTTGTTTCAGCCTTTTAAATGTAGCTGCACTGTGAGTTTTCAGTTAAAGTTACCTGCAGCCTAGGACGTGCATTTATGTACTTCTGCGTAGGACACAAAATACGTACTTTTTGAAGCAAACTTGTAAAAGCTGTGATTTAGAGGAACAGTTAAGTTTGCTGAAGTTGGTAACTTCCAGTGCTTTGACTGGAACACAAACGAGTTTTTAGTTTATTGTTTTGGTGTGTGGTTTTGTAAACAGCACTTTTCTGGGATTATGAAAACAAGGCTCATGAGTCCCTTATGTATTGTCCACTCTGAATCTGGAATTGCTGAAAGCATTTATAGAGGAGAAGGTCTTGAGCCATTTCCTGTGCTAGCATTTTTCTGAAATACTGTAAACTGAGTAAGTAGTTCAACTGGAGCTCTTTTTTAATCTCTAAAATACTTAAAGACGATATACACGTGTGTTAAATTCAGTAATGGAGGTCCCATTGCCTGAGTATGGTATGAGTAATAACATAATGAACCATACAGCTCAGGAAAGGCGTCTCTTCTGTGCTTTGCATTTGCAGCTACCAAAATTTTAGGAGTTGGTGAATTACAACCTTGAAGTGTGAAAGTGTGAGGCAAACTCATGTTCAATTAGGAAAAAAAAAACAATTTTATTAGGAAATATAGTATTTTATTATCTGAAACTGTTGTCAGTCTCTCTGTGCACAAACACATTTCATTGATTTATATATCTATGTTAAGCTTTCATCTCATTAAGCTGTGTCCAGCAGCTTAGAAAAATGCATTCTTGTTCCTAGGAGAAGCAGTATCAGTTTTCCCAGTGTCAGATTCCACAGCAAGCTGATCAATGCCATGCTGCCCAGCCCTGCCAGCGCTCGGAGCAGTCCCAAGTCAGTCACCAGTGCCAACAGACACAGACCAGTAGCCCTTGTGAAATCATTCCAGTCTCTGTGAGTGATGACTGCAGAGGAAGTACAGTGAGGAGGGTAACAGTTCAGACCTGTGAGCCGGTAAGAACCATTTGCTGAATGTTGTACTATTCACAGTGTGGTTTTATTTTGTATGCAGTGCAGAACTTCACAGGTAGGTAAAAGTGCTAATCCCCAATCTCGGAAGTTTTTGTTCAAACTCATAGTAGGGTCATTGAGCACCATACAGCTCTTGTAAGTAAACAGCAGAGGTTGTGTGTCTGTTGCAGGTAGCTGTGTATGCTGTGATTGCAGATGTTGCCTAGAACTGTCCAAGACGTTTTTCTTAACAGGCTGTTAAGAAAAAAAAAAAAAAAAAGAAAAGAAAAAAGTGCTGGTTTATGTGTTGTATCCTGCTTCTTGTTGGCATAGACCTGTGCTTAGGTGTACTGACTGATCATCGCTCTGCTGTCCTTTAGATGTGTTAAGTCTCGCTGGTTTGTTTGGTTTTGTTCTTTATCTGGGAGCGTTACCCGTTGATTGGGTCAGGTTTCATCTGTCTTTGTACAACAGAGATTGAGTATCGTAAGGCATATGCCTCTGGTTCTGGAGAAAAGATCCATTAATTTATGAACTCGACATACATCGATTCAGGATTGATTTCTACCTGAGCTGATCAATAACGACTCCAAATATATTTCAGTTTGATGAAGAAGGATTTGACAGAGGTTCACTGGAAGCACAGAACTAGCTTCCTTTGGCCTTCGTTTGAAGCAGGGTGCAGGTTCTGGAGAGTTTCAAAGGGCTGCAGGAGCTCGCGCCACATGCCTGCTGTTACTTCAGTTAGGGGAGGGAGTGCGGCAGCCCTTCCTGTGCATCTGTTTGGGACAGAGGTGCTGAGACAAACGCACTTGGTGGCCTCAGCGTTAGACCTACACGGAATCCTCCATAGCCCGATGCTCCCATGAACCAGCTTAGGTCCCCTCAGTTTGGGCTGCTGGCAAAACTCTTACTGTTGGTGTAAGTGAACGTTTGAACTGTGACAAATTCCTTTTTCACAGTGGGGAACGCTGCACCTGTCTGCTTTTATCTGGGTGCTGCCCACAGGCGTTTTATCCACTTGAGCTACCAAAGCGCGTATATTAATGAGATTTCCTAATGCTCAGCACTTTCCATATTAGCATAATGATGATGACTTTGCTGTAGAAGGTACTATGTTGCATATTTCTTGTTGTAAAGGAACGCATTTATTTCTGTATAGTTTACTGAAAACCAGGAGACATGGAAGACTCAATACCAAGGAAAAGAACAGCATAAACAAATGGCAGATTAGTAAGAGCAAACAAAACTGAATCCACCATACTTGGAGCGTGTTCATGTTCAGCTTTCATCCCGAAGAAGGGATTCTGATCTTCTTGTGTATCTTCTGCCAGGTGAATTGCTCTCAGGAAAACAATGACCAGCTGGACTGCCGCTATTTCGGTGAGCTCCTCGCTGAACTGAACCGCAAGACCAACGACTTGTACAACTGTTTGCTGCAGCACGTGGAAAAGATAGGAGGAAGGTATTGGCTTTACATGTCTTCTGTCATTTCTGTGTTCTAGAAATCTGGCATTGCACAGTCGAGAGGACGGTATTGTTTGCAAGCTGGTTTTCTTTTTATTCCCTGACAATTAGAATTGATTGTGTATTTTACATGTTCATCTAATTTGCTGAGTAACTGCGGATATAAAAATTCTATAAGCCAAGTAGATCTATTGCTTTCTCAAATTGTTTAGACTAATACGCAGTAAGTTACGTATCCCTTGTCTACACGTAGAGCAAAAAAGCACACTCTGACGTACATGTAATGATACAATTCTGTTAGTACATCCTGAAGAAACAACCAAATGTCCAAATTGCCATTTCCTTTGTTCTGTCGTGGTGTTATGTCATGGATTAAAAGATGGCCACCGTAAGGCATAAAGCTTAGTATCTACATGCAAATGAATGTTCAGCGTATTCTGCTGAGCCCTACGGATTGTCTCTGAAAAGAAATGCAGACTCACAGAGCCAGTAATCTGAGTCTTCACAGCGTTCTTGCCCTTCCCTCACCATCACCATCACTTCGTTCTTCCCCCCTTGCTCCCAGTCTCCTTTGGTGCTTTCCAAGTTCACTGAAGTAAGTGGTCCCATAGCAGGGGAAAAGTGGGATATAAGCATCACAAAAAACCTGACGCCGCAAAATAAACGCTTCAGGCGTGCCAATCTATTGCAGCATAGTTCTGGGTAAACCATTACCCAGCCACTTAAGAACGTAATTGGGTTAACGAACATAATTGGGATAGCTGCCCAAAGAAACAGAGGTAGTTAGCCTGTGTTGACTAACGGTACTGCTATTAGTGTTCCAGTCTCCTCCGATATTTCTACATGGAGTCATAGTTAACAGCTCGTGTTGCCTGGCACCTTAAAAGCTCTTAATCTGATAAAGAACCTTTCTTGCTCCATATTTTAATCTTTATGTAGTTGTGAATGAGGATATGAATTCTTAAAGTTCTCAAGAAGCTTTCTGCTAATTGGTCTCTTGGATTTTGTCTGTTTTACAGGAACCATGACATTGAACTTACGTGCCAGGTAAGCACCGGGCATGCTCTTCACAAGCTGTTCCCTGACATGTAGTGCTATTGACAACGGTGTGGATCTTCCAGCAAATTAAGCCAGGCCAGTTCAAGTGAAGGATGCTGGTCTTTGTTAGCTAATGGTTCCTGCTCGTTAATAACATTCAGAGCCGGAAACCTACTGCTAGGTGTGGCTTTGCAAATGTGACGGTATTGAAAGGAAACTCTAGTAATTTGCATTATTCCAGTATGCAAGTCAAATTTTGAAAGTCTTTCCTGCTGTGGCAGTGAAGGTTTCATTGTAAAGCACACTTACACAGTTGCGCGTGTCTTCACCGCGCGTCTTTTGCAAAGGATCGTTCACTCTCTTGCCAACGATGCTGCCGTTCAGCAGCGTGTGCCGTCAGGCCCTGCAGGAGGTGAACGCTGCCTCTCGCGGGAATGAGGGCAACGGGGGCCGGCAGAACACACTGCCCGCGTCTACAGAAGGCTCACTTCTGTGGATTGGGCCACCAACAGAACCGTCAGCACCTCTGCTGTCTTTAAAGGCATTGTGTGTATGGCAGAAATACTTGCCTAGGATTAAATTACGTGATGCAATGCGACGTAATCGCTGGCAGCATCTACCGTGACACACTGGTCATCTTCAGTTGGCCCACAGTCTGTTCTTTGTTCAGAAACACGAGATTTGCTCATACACAGGCTGCTGGGAGTTCTGTTTTGGTGTCAGCTGTTGCTTTCTTGAGAGAGGATTGTTTTGAATACTGCTCTTAAAATAAATGTGAAACTCAATGATTTGAATATCTGCTTGATGTATCACTTCGTCTCAGTTTTTATATGCCACACATATGTAAGACTTTGGAAGTGTTCTGGATGCACTTTCAGCTGTTTTCATTCTTACTTGCCCTGCACTAAATGTAGTTTTCATAGTAAAGCTGTTCAATTCATGAAGAAACCACGTTATGATCTACCAGGCAAAACTCTTAATCGAGATGTCTCCCCTTTCCTCCCTTCTTTGCTTAGACTGAAGATATTGAAGATTTAATTCCTAAAGGACTGTCTGAGGCAACAAAGCAGCAGATTCGTTACCTCCTCCAGGTACGTGAGCAGGGTGGAGGGGGTGTGTGGAAGCCTATGGTAACTTGAAACACTGGAAGCTGGCTTGCACACCCCAGGATTTTGTACATAACATACTTTGCTCTATATTGTGCTTTAAACTAAGCATTACTGGTGCTTTCTTGCCGTTCCACTGGAAACCATCTTGGCTTTTGACCAATTACTGGAGAACGCAGCTCTTCATCTTCTTGTTTGTGTTGTATATTAATGCTTTACTCCAAAACCGAAGGGCAGGCAGTAGGTGCTTTACTGAATGTTGACTTGGGGTATCAGCCGCCACCTACATGCAATGCTTGTAACTTAGGTCTCACCTTTTACAAAAGTTCTGGTTAAAATCCTCAAACCTAACACGCCAGTCTGAGGCACGCTTACGACACTGGGTAACAAAACATAACCATTACTGGTTTGGTTCCATTTCTAAAGCCTTTGGCGTTTCTTCCAATCTTGCTTTTCAGCTACTTGACCCTCCCAACCTGCCGCTTCAGTCACCAGCCACACGGGTTTGGCTGGAAGGCGATAGGGCAGGAACGTGAGGGTCTGATAACGGCTCTTCATTTTGTTGCTTCCCAGCTCTGCAGCGCTCTCTGCAGCGTGTTCTGTAGAAAACACTTGGCCTCTTTGTGAAGCGCTCTGAAGAGAGCTGAGGGGAATGGCCCCTGCCTGGGATAAAACATTAAAAACAGTGGATCCCACTGTCGACTCCAGAACCATTTGACATGTAGGTACATTAGAACAGGATCCCGGACAATCTGCACTGCTCGGCAGGCGTGGTGAGGTCTGGGTCTGGTCCCCCCGCGGCAGGGTAAGGGGACCCCACCTGGGAGCTGCAGCGTGGAATCGCTGCCTGGTAAAACAAATCCATGAGAATAAAGTTGGTCTGGCCTCGCAGCTGATCCTGCTTTGAGCGGGGGGGTTGGACAAGGGGACCTCCCGAGCCCCTTCCAACTTGGATTATTCTGTGACTCTTACGATGGACATTGACACCGCAATATTCCGTGCCCTCATGTCAGAGCAGGTCCCAGGAAGCTGGTTCAGCTCCCCTCCGTGTGAACGAGCTGAAACACCCATTTCCTGTTTTCTCTAAATTCAGCTGGTTTTACATTCTCACCTATGCCTAAAAAACCCGCAGCTATAAGGCCTCTTGGGAAAGCAGATGTTGTCAGCGTACACCCGGAGCTGGGTGCGGTACGATCCTGAGGTAGCTGCCAGGCTGCTCAGGCAGAGACCGTGCTGGGTGTGCCCAGGGCCTCAAGTCCAAGTGCACGGAGAATTTCACTGTGGCAGTACACGACACCTCTGGAATTCAGCAACCTCTAGCACTAAGTAGTTGCTGAGTGGGGATTTACTTATATTTTTATAGTCTAAATTCAACCATTTTGTCTTTAATTCCTTCTTTTAATCTACTCTTATTGTATATTTCACAATAAAACCAAGAAAACCATCAAGTTAAAATTGAAATTCCACTTTAATTAACAAACAGGTGAGTTTTACACTAGAAATGTTATTTTTGAAGCCTCAGTCACATAACAGCACCAACGGGGATAAAAAATATTGATGGAGATCTTGCCAGCTTGCTTCCATTTAAATGACCAACAAACAAAGTTAAGGGAGAGCATTGGAAGAGAAACAGGCAGGAGGATTTCGCTTTTGTCCGGATAGTTAAAAATACATCTTGTGCACAGAATATCCAGCCCCTCCAGACAAGTCAAAACTTGAGGAATTGCTCTGTGTGTTCTTTCAGAGTCTATTTTTCTTCTTCCAAATATTAGAAATGTATCATGAAATGCAACAAGTTGTGTTTTAACATGAATCACTGCAGCTGTTGACATGAATTAAAAGAAGAGCGACCAGTGCCATGTAGGTGTCATGCACTACTGCCTGCCTTTTTCGTGCAGTTGACTCCTTTAATCTTTGGGATCTTTTCCCTTTTAAAGGGAGGAGTTGGTTGTATGCTTTTTTCTTTATTTAATTTTTTAAAAAATTTTAATTAAATTCTCTTGCCCTTGGGCTGACAGTGTGCTTTGCCAGATCGCACAGATGATGACTGATTTGCTCCTCTGTGGCTTCTCAGGTAGGGCAGTAATTTTTTTAAATCAGCGTAAGTCACAAAGCTCTGAACACTCAAAAAAAAATGACTGTGCAATATTACCACATTTATTTTTCCCTTTATTGGTGAACAAATGCAGTTCTTTGCTCTCTTGTTCCTTCCATTTTCAGAACATTACCCTGTGTTACAAGGCAGCAATTTAAACCTATGCCATTTGCAGAACTAAGTGCATGAAAATGTATTTCTTCGCAGGAACTGTGGGCACGCCACAGAACGGCCTGCAGTAGTTCTAGGAGAGGAAGTTATTTTCAGTGGTCTGGCAGTTCCCTGTTCCACCTGTTGTCAAACACATTGTACACAAAGCTCGCTATTTAACCAGGAGTGTATGTTTTCTTTCCTTCCGCTTCCTAGATGAGAGTGACATCAGATAAATCGTTGAGACTTGTGCTTTCCACTTTCAAAAATTTACGTGAAGAGCTCTGCCATTTGCAGGACGACTTGGGGGTAAGCTGTCCTTTTCAGTTCCCATGGCCTCATCCCTTTGGTTTCACCTGTCTGTAGGAAGTGTGTGATGATGAAATTAACTTGTGAGGGTCAGACTTTGGGTGCTTCATGGAGATGGTTTACTACGGAGTGCAGGACTCGTGCAGGGGATGAGGTCAGACTTCTTCCTAGCAGTGGTTTGCAAGGGTTCTATTTGTTGAAGCCTAAAAAGCCAAATACTTTCAGAGGAGGGAAAGACTCTGCTGAGTGACGTTCGATTAAAGCTCTGAGCTGGCATACACCGGGCGTGTGGCACCAGGGACAGGGCCCGCACGCCCAGTGCCTGCTGACGAGTGCCATTCAGGCGTCGGAGGCCTGGGCTCCGCTCGCTCCCGACAGTCCCATTCCCCACTTCACAGGAGAATCCGCTGGTGGCTTTACCGCTCCAGCGGCTCTCCAGGGTACGGGCATCCCCACGTGAGGCTGGTGCCCTGCGGCTGCCGACAGCCAGCAGATGTTTCTGCTTCCCTGGCAGCCGTTGCTGCCCCCGCCGGCCCGAGTACTCGCCCCACTGGAAACTTCACAGCATTCTCCTGTAAAATGCAGTTTAGGGAGGGGAGGGGGCGTTTGAACTGTCACCTTTCACACAGAGCAAGGAGTCCATGCAGTGAAGTGGTCTTAGTTTGGAGTTCTTCTGGGTTTCTGTTTAATAACTATGAGTAATTCTTTCTGGGACAGAGTGCGCTGTGTCCAGGATCCCAGTGCTTACCACACAACACAAAGCCACAGCTACTGCAGTGATGGGCAGCTGTGTGCTGTGTAGTTAAAAAACCCCCATAGTTTCAAGAAAATTCAGTATTTTCTCAGTTCTAAAACATCTCTTGCTAATTACTCAGTATGTTTCATTTTGAACATGGGAAAAGTTTACTGAAAAATTGCAGCTATTGACTGCGAACACTTTTGCCTTACAGAAGTTAGAAATGGACGGTGTCTTACTTAAGAAGGATTTGGCTTTTAAGGATTCTCAAGTAAAAGAATATGAAACTATGTTGACTTCTCTGAGAGAGAATAATCGTCAGCAGCAGGTAAATCCACAAACCTCTTTTCAGTGTAATTAGTCAGCCGAAACCTCGCCCGTGCGCTGACTGCTGAGCACTCCGAGCAGCTGCTGCCTGCTGCGCGGCTGTGTGTGTGTGTGTGTTAGTTCTGCCAGACACCAGGCATTCATTCCACGTGTGCTTTCCAGCAAGGGCTCCGAGAGAGCACTGCGAAATGCCGCTCCCTGGAAGAACAGCTCCTCTCGCTTCGGCTCAGTGAGGGAGAGAAGGATTGTCAGCTAAAGGAGCTGGAGTACTGCAAGCGTGCCTTGGAGCAGGAGGTCCAGAGCCTCAGGCTACAGGTACCGGGCTCACTTGTTCCGTGTTTGGTAGCTATTACACACAGGTACAGATGCACTGACATGTGAAAATTAATGATGAAAACTCTCTTTTTAAAATAAAAAAAAATAATTTTCTGCAGAGCTGCGCTAATCCAGCACTACAGACCACCACAGATGAACTCTCCAGCCGTTATGTAGAGATGATCAATAACTTGAGAGAGGATAAAGACCGTGAGATCCGCAGTCTTAGGGTAGGTGCTTAACTTGGCACGTGTGCATTCCTCACGCTGTACGATGGCAGGCAAACAGCTGCTGTTCTAATGAGGGAACAGGGAAGAACTACTGTATTTCAGGTATCTCTTGGTTCTGCAATTACTTCAGACGCAGACACTAACGACGGCTCAGCAGCCCTTATGCTAGAACTCAAAACTGTGATTTTAAAAAAAAAAGTACAATTCCTTAGATGTACAAATTGGGGATTAATCAGATTAGCAGTCTCTCCTACAGACACCTTCTGTAGTAAGAAACTAGCCAAAAAGCCAGGCAACAGAAAACAAAAATAAATCCCGGTCAAAACTGGACGTAGGAAACATCTCATTTAAATCACTGTAGTAATATTTTACCATCCGGGAAGACAGTTCAACTTGTTCAGTCTTGTATTGGCTTTACTGCGTTGTAAAACTGTTAAACTGATACTGGGCTGAATTCAGTCCAAGTAGCACTTTCTGCATTTACTGTGCTGCTCAGCATTCTTACTGGAAAAGCTCTGGGTCTTGCTGTTCATGGTTTTAATGAAAAAAATACATCTGGAGTCCTAGATACATCCTAAGAGGTGACTGCAGGGAGCACCAACCACCTGACTGTTCCCTAACCTCTGTCTTCTAGTCTCAGTTATGCCAATTCCAGCAAGATATATCGGAGAGAGCTGGAAGTAACAGCGACTTGCAAATAAGGTTGCAAGAACTGACGTCGATGCTGGAGGAGAAAGATGCTTTTATTAAACAACAGCAAGAGGTAAAATAACGCAACTTATTTCTCTTCTAAGAATTTTTGTATTTAAGTCCCCACTTACTGTGTAGGCGGAACCTTAGCAGGAAGTCACTGTGCTCTCCTGGTTCGGGAGCTGGGGTTAGGATTTTTTAAAAGTGAATGCTATTCCTCTGCCAGCCTTGGGGGAGGACAGGCTTTTTCTGACTGCTCTTTGAGAGGAATTTCTGCAAATATTTTGTTGTGTTTTTAGTGAACTAGTACTTCATAAAACAGTATTTAATTTGAATGTTTACTTTTGGTTTTCTCAGGACCTCTTCAGATTGAAGCATGAGAAATTATCAGGCAGTCAGTCCCCTGGTGTAACAGCTATCATCACGAAGAAGTAATGTAGCTATTCACCTTTCTTAAAAAAGCCTCCTTTTGGTTCTCCACTGTGTAGCCTCTGTTAACCAACCTATTCCTGCAGCTGTCTTACTGCTGCCTGTGCAGCTTAGAGGGGAAAAAGTCGAGACAGGTTTCCTGTCCGAGGAGGACTCAGTGATAGGCACTGCAGCAGCAACTGCCAGGGTGGCCAGCACGTCAGAGCGACACTGGCAGGGCTGTACGGGCTTTTAGTCACCAGGGGAACGCTTGGGGGGTTAATGACTGGAAGGGCCATGTGGCAAGATTGGAGTCAGCGATCTGGGTATGCGTGCGCAGAGTTCGGTTACAGGTTTGCAACTCTTCTAACACAGGTACAGGAACCAGTACCCTATTCTGGGTCTCTTGTCTGATGACTACAAGGTTACATCACCTGTCAATAAATCACAAACGATTGTGATTGAGAGGACTGGAGAGATATGGAAACAGGTAAGTTTACCTGGAGATTGACTGTTCGGTCTCTGGCATTCCCAAGTATTCACTTTAACTTCAAAGCCAGGATTAGCCAAAACTGACATCTGAGCGAACACCAGTGTGTTAATTTAACTGGGCTGTAAGAAGCAGAGAGACCGATTAAAATCAAGGAACTGTAAGTCTGCTCCAAGAAGGTGGTAATTGCTGGGTGGAGTATAACTAAAATACCCTTTTGTTGTCTTTGCTGACACGTAATTACGTTTCACAAAAGCAGGGGCGTTGCTCTAACACCAGCCTCTGCCCTCACGCACAAGCAGCCTTTGGGCACCACCGTGCTGGGGAGTGAGTTGGGCAGGAACTTCTGTGCTGTGCTCCCGGGTGCGGGTGTGTTTTGGGTGGGCCCTGCTCCTCTGAACCATGAGGATTAACAACGCCAAACTACTGCTAGAACATATGAAGCACCATGTCCCTTGCACCGAGACAGGGCCGTGACTAACCTGGGAACTGCAGGCGAGTGGGGACTGTTGGAGGAGCGACTGAAAGTAAAACCAGAAAAGCAGGAGGGCCGCAGTGGCTAGTGCCACTCCAGGGCACAGGGCAGCGCGGCCGAGTCTGAACGCAAGGAACGGCTTGAGAAGGATCAGCAGGGCCAGGCCACAACCACGTGTGCCGAACCGCGGCTCTGATGATGGCGGGTGCAGAGTACGGCAGAGCGGCTCTGTGGGGACTCATCCAAGGACAAGACGTTACGTGGGCAGCCTGTGCAGAGGGAGGGTGAAACACCTGGCGTGTTCTGAAGGAAATGTCACCTGGAGTAGGACTGGGTCACTAAAAGGCAGAGGTTGCTGGCGAACAGCAGTTTCATTACTGCTGTCTCAAACTCATCCAGTTGCATTGCAACCTAGTGAAATGTCAAGGAATTACCCATTCGTAAAGAAATTACGCTGATAAGGCTAAACTCCCTCTCTCCTCACTTGAAAAGTTTGTCCTGCTTCCCACTGTACCAGGTGGAAAAGAGGAGTGGATCTGCAGTTGAAGAGATCAGTATCATTAATGAGAACCGCTTATATTTTAAGTTTCCCAAGGTCTCTATCAATCACTAGGGCAAATGGCCTTGCTGCAAGATAAACTTGGTAAGTTTGAGGAGAGCCAATTTCACCTTTACTCCAGGCTTCACAAGTACTTTTTCTGCATTTCTGTGCCGTCGGCCAGATCTTTGTATCTGCATTTGTGATTGAAGAGCAGTGCTGAGAGGTGTCCAGGTAGTGTGGCTTTTACACTGACTGTCAGGCAGTGATCAGTTCCGATGCTCAGCCCTTGAGGATACGCAAGTGAAAGTACTTAAACGTTCTTTGTTACACTGATCCTGGTTATATTAGAGAAAACTTCTAGGGTAGAAATTTTGTATTGCCTACTCTAGGTATCTGAAAACTTCCTGTGCTTGGCTGTTTTCCCAAGTACAAAACCAAGCTATTTTCCTTGTTGTTGTGTTTACTGGAGACATCTGCCAGTTCTGCCATCTGCCCCTTGCTGAACAAAGCCGTTTACGGCTTAATGATACAGCTCTGACCTTGCCAGCGCCGGCTGCTGCAAGCACTGACACGCTGGGTGTTTGTTCAGGAGGGAAGGAAGGCTCGCTGGCCCCTTCGGGCACTTGGAAAGTCAGGCTGCTGGAGAAAACTGATACGTAATTAAATGAGACGTGCTTTAGGTACCAGGCAGTCTTGCTTTAGATGGTAAGAGATAAGTTTGTGTATTTTCTTCTAACAAGCTGCTTTTTTCTTTCAGGAATGAAAGAAATCTCTGAGCCATCAGAGCTGCTCAAAGGAGTTCACAACTAAAACTGCTTTACTTTCTGCTATTTTGCCTCCAACAAAGGCTTGATAGAAAAGCTGAGGAACACATTAAGCACAAGGAAGCATGAAGGTGATGGAAAACCCTGTCTCATTCTGATCATAAAGAACGAACTCTGTTACCTGTGTCCATCATCTGCCACCACACCTGGCACAAATGTCACTTGTACTATCTCATGCGCTTACTTCTGCTCAGAAGAGAGCACTCTGCCATGCTTTTGTGGACTTCAGATTTTCTTGACATGGCTAATGTCTGTTCTTCAGCCAGTCCAGAAGCAATCTAAGAGACAAAAAGATGTCTGAAACCTTTTCCTCATCGTACTATTAGCCATATTCTTCTGTCCTGTCTACTCGTGCCGAGAAGCGAGAATGATATGAATTTACATCCCGTACGCATGGAAAGGCTGGTTTCGGCACAGAGGCACAGATTGCTGCTTGATCTACTGCTGCCTGGTGAAGATGAAGCAAACCCAGAAACAACCTTCATGGGGAACTTCACCTCACTGAAAAACACTTACCTTGCATCTCCTGTGTATGGCAAGCTAAAACACAAAGGAAGATTACTGACCTTAAACTCACCTACCAAACTGGCGACTACCAGGGTTACCCGGTTCGGGGAAATGATTGGGCAAATGCTAATTTCAAAGAATGCCACTGACTTCCGAGTTGACGTCTGTTCAGCTGAACCTTTATAAGCCCCCAAACCAGCCACAAGTATTTATTTGCAGTGCTTAAAAAAGAACTTGGTATATTTTTATATAGAAAAACTTAGCATGAAAGTAGCTCATAGACTAACTTTTATTATCAGACCAACCTTCCACGTACAATTTTTGCTCCTTGCAGGACCACAAAAATTCTCTCAAAATGATTTGGTATTAATAAGTAAGTAGATGTCTCAGCAAGAGAGTACAGAGAATCATAGGGGAAATCTGAAACTGTGCAATCAAAGGGTGCTGGCTCTTCATCACGGGGTTCTTGCTTGGCTTCATTTCTGCAGTCCTGTATTTCTACTAACAAATAACCTATATCATAGACAATGTTTAATGGTGAAAGAACGCTGTAGGTGATGTGTAACTATGAAATAAACCTCAGTGTAACTTCCTGAATCACGTCTGTCTGTACTGGCAACATCTCGTGTCTACCTGATAGGCTGGAAGGGGTTGTTACAGGTGGGGTGATACTGCCTTTTCTTTAAGACAGCTTGTTCCCCTAAATGCACTTTTACAAGTAAAGGACTAGTGTTGGGTCCCTGCTGCTGCCAGTCCCCCAGCCAGTTAATGCTGGGACGTCAATGACGGCCTCATGCTCTTCGCGACGGGGAGAAGGAGCCAAGCTTAAAACCTGCTCCTCGCACTGCTCCTTGAGTGCCTTCAGCAGCTAAAAGTGAAGAGTCTGCACCACTGAACGACACTCACTTCAGCCTAGCTCTATAAAAAGAGGTTTTAATTAGCTAAAATTTAAGTTTCCTCATTTGAATGAGGAGTGCCTTGCCACGCTGAAATAAATAACTAACAATTAGATTCTAAAGTAACCCCCTCATTTCTGTGTAGCAGCTAGCTACAAGGTACCTATAAACACAGAGCTAACATACTGATGACAGAATGGTGTCATCCCAATAATGAACAATTTTAGTTACGCTGTCATCTAATGACTTTTCACCTTTAGTGACCTAAATAGACAGAAAGACATAAAAGAGGAAGAACACCAGGTTTGGTTAATGCCATCACACTGTGCAGTCATCATGACGGAAGGAGACGCAGAACCATTTGGTGACTTACTGTGGGCTTTGCCACGATCTCGGCTGGGCTCGGCTGGCCAGCAGCGTTCCGCAGGGGGCTCGGAAGGTGCTAGAACAGCAGAAACAGGAGTTACTAACGGCCACGCTCCCTGCGCCCTCGCTTCAGCTACTGCCCCGGCAGTGCGGGGTACGGACGGACCCTGGCATCCAGCAACACCGATCAACGCTTCTTTAACTCTGGGTGACTAACAACTGTGTAACAGCAGCACAAAGCACTAAACGCCCTTACAGGACAAAGGTGCAGGCTCTGAACATAGTCAGAGCTGTTGGGTGGGGGGGGTGTAATTTCATGACAAAAGGCCATGATTAGGCAAATGAACTGTTACGCATCTAGAGCCGGGATTCTGTTTGGAAACACCGTGACTATTCCCCATACTTGAAGAGACAGGTAACATCATCCGACTTACTTACTTAAAAAAGCCCCGTTTGCTAATCCGGAAAGAAAGACAGACGTCAGTACTGTACTGTGTAGCAAGGATCAGCTTCTCTAAGGCTTGTTAAGAGCAGTTTAATGCTTCTTGTAACAACACATCTTACTCAGATGACATGAAGCAATAGATACTTGTGAAAAAGCTGAATTAGACAGTAGAAGCAGCATAATGGGCATTTGGGGCTGGTTTTGTTTTCAAACCAGGTTTATTTAAAAAGCAAATTCAGTACTTTTTCTATTATAAAAAGTACATGTTATTTGCTATTGCCTCTTTTCTGTTGAATTGAAACTGAATTACATAACAATTTCTGCTGGAGTTTACGCAAACACATTTTTCTCATTTACTCATCTCTGTAAATGCTAGTTATCACCCTAATGATACTTATGTAAGTAAGTATACACAGTATACTTTAAATAGTTTTTCACTTCAATTTCAGGTAGGTCCACTAAGACTTCTCATTTTTTTCAGGAACAAATTAGGAAAATCAAAGCCAGCATTTACTTCCTGTGTTGACAACAACACCCCCCCCGCCCTATCAGGCTGACTATCAACAGCGTAGCTGAAGAAACCCTCACTCCTCACAGATCTGACAGCACGCATCTCCTCCTCACACCTTTCTACTACTGACTTTTCCACCCAACTCAATACACAGTATGGAATAAAGGTTTCTCTGCCTCAGCTGCAAAACTGAAGGCAAACAGAGTCCTGGTTCAAGTTACAGACACCTTCGGCGTTCTCTCTGAAGAGTCGACATAGACTGTGAATACTACGTCAAGGTAACTTACCTTTACCTTGAGAGCACTCTGCTGGTGTTCTTCTCTCAACTTCATTATCTTTAATTGTGGGCATCTGAAACCTGAAGAAAATAAAATACAGATGATGATCAAGACACGAATCACTTTTACCTGCTCCTGGATTTTAGGAGTTCGTAGTCTGCCATTCAAATACAAAAGCGCAGTAAACAGATCTGGCATTTTAAAGCAACCCTTCCACAGGTTTGTGAAACTCACTGCTTGCTCGAGCAACCATGACGTGTTTGTACCTCACCGCAGGAGCAGGCAGAGAAATCCAAACACGGTCAAGAACGGCTGAACATCCTCAGCATTGTGCGCCCAGGCAGTGAACAGCGATGCAGCATGCGGCACCTTTCCTGCTCCTGCTACTGGGGCGTGGCATCCTACTACACAAACACTGGGCAAGGTAATGCACCCCATTAGTTAGCGTTGCTGCAGGGGCAGGTTTGTAGTAATCTGACAAGCAAGGGTTGTTTCCAACAGCTTCAAAGCCCTTCCTGGAAACGTGGCAAAAGGCAAGACATACATCAACGTCACTAAGGAATGCAGCTATGCACAAAAGGCAATCGTGCCTACTAAAGTGCCTTTGGAAGCACAGAGATCATGCAACTTCACAACAGTGAGGGGAGGCATCATTCTGAGTTTTCAGGACAAGTAATAAGATACGATACCATCAACTTTTATCATTCAATTCAACACTGAAGTCAAAACACTTGCAAGGCTTACAGGTGGCAGCATCTCTCTCTCACTTGCTTCCTACAGAACTCATCTGCTTTGAAAACGAGTAAGCAGGACCTGCCCGTAGAGCACTTCATCCCACCCTAAAGGCTTCATCAGTTTGGGTAACAGAAGGGTTTGCTGCCAGCTCCGGGGAGGAAGCCAGGCAGGGCAGAAGTACAGACTACACAGAGCAGGGATCTGTGGAAGTACCGAGACGATACAAATTTTACAGGGATTTGACATGAAGCGTTTTTAAAATCATGACACCCCCACGGTAACAATATAACAGCCATCACAAATTCTCTTAAATACTTACTGGGAAAGTACACTGAAAAGATTCTAGAAGCTGTGCCTCAAATTGCTGAGGATTCAGGTGAAATTTTATTCTTACGTTTCAGAAGACTTAAAATGACACTTCCTAGTAAAATCTAACGTCAAGAATACCAACCAACCACTTGCTTTAATACAGAATTTCAGTTACCAGGGAAACACAGTTGTAGCAAAAAAAAAAAAAGAGGGGAAAAAAGGTTCTACCTGAGTCTTACCTTCTGCTGGATGAATACATGCACCATCTCTATATAAAAAGATCCTAAATTACTTACGCAAAGTAAGAGCACTGCATGTAATACCACTTCCTCTCTGGTTACTCTTTGCCTAGCAGGCACGTTCCTTTATTCTCCCTTCCCTAACCCCAACTTGTACGTCCTTTCCTCCACAGCCCCACGTCACACCTGCAACACACTGCACAGGCCTGGCCTTTCTTGTCGACTCCGTCCTCCTTCCCTCCACCACAATATTACTTTTTTTTTTTTAAAACCACCAGAGGCCCTCCTAACATCTTCAACCCCCTCCTTTGCCTATTCACCATCCAGCTTGGACAGAGAGTTACAAGAAGCTTCAACATCCACAACTGAACAGAAAGACATCAATTGTGGAGGAGGGGGTGGAAGCACCAGTGGGAATTTCAAGCTACAGAACACCACCCCTAAGTCCAGCCTTAGCCATAACCCTCTAAAAGCAGCACTGGACAGAACCAGCAAAGGGCTGAGCTGAAGCACACATTCTCCCAGCGGTATCGTAAGCTACTGAATTTTAAAACCACTGCTCAAGCAAAAAGTCTGACAAAAAAGTTTGAAAATAACAGCATATGGGTAGTAAACCATTAACCTTAACACTGTGTGGGTTAAGTCTCAAGGCTTTGTCTCTCTTTGACAGACCTTATTTCCAGTCCTCCTCCTTGGCCAGGTTTCACTGTCCACATGCTGCCGAGAGAAGAGACAAACAGTTACTCTAAAGAAGGAAACATTCAAAATCCTAATGCAGTAAGCGAACCAAAGAGAAGTGGTAACTCAAGACCTCACACGGAGAGGGCTGACTGTAAGCATCCTGCTACGCTCAACCACCCGGGTTCTGCACCCAGCCACCACAAAAGGCAGGGCTCACACAGACGGCTGTACGAGTCCACACCTGCTTCAAGCCTCACACACTTGCCCGTATTTGTACCTCAGCTGGTAACAGCCCACTGCAGCTGGAGTCTTCCCAACCACTATTCCCTCCCTCACATCTTGAAATACACGTTCCTCACAGATTTTAATGTTCCAAAAGGTATATGAATTTTTTTCCTGATTGAAAAGAAATCTCATTAAGTGGCCTTACAGACTGTTAAACTTCGACACCAATTTCAACTTCTGTACAGCTACAGAACTTAAACATTCTATACTATAATGATGAAGCTGTAAATTAATTGAACTTTTATCCAGCATCCACCATATACTTTCTCCTAAAAAAGTTTTAAAAACTTCTGTGCCTTTACGGTACGTAGTTTTAGGGCAAGAAAAAACTAGATGCAACAGAAAATCTAGGTAACAAAACTGATGCCCCAGTCACTGACTCTGAACTAACAACCCTTTTACACTACCCAACAGTTCACCACAGAAAGAATTAACCCACAGACGTAATTTTCAACTATCAGATATGTAACGGTCAAAGCCTCTCACTGCACACCTTGGAAAAACACCACTGTGATCCTCAAACATACACTGTAAAGATTAATACAGCTCACCAGTAAATACCACGTATGAATAGTAAAAGGCACCAAAACATGATCTGAATGCACTGCTTAAAAGCATTATGTCCAGATTTCACACCGCTGTCTAAAATGCTGGCTCTCCAGAAGTTTAATTTCTGTCATTTCTAGCCCCCACGTCCTGTCCTGTACCCCATGAACTGTGAGGGACTCTTAGGCAATGTGGGATTAAGCCTTCGTAGAAAGTAGAAAATGTTTAAAATACTCAATTACCTGATTATTCCGTCCATCTGTAAGGTGGAAAAATGAGCCAGCATGGATGTGTGCTTTGTCACAGAGTCAGAATGATCATCTTCAGTCTGCTGTGAAGAAACTCCTTCAGTTCTATGTATTCAATATAATGTTCAGGAATAAAGCATTAAAATTGTCAAAAAAATCACAACTTTAATCTCTAAGATTTTTTTGAACGCTACAGCCTCCTCCTTTGATTGCTGGGCATAGAAAACAGAATCGTATGAACAACACCCCGATGAACAGGTTCACGCCTGCACCAGTTCTGGTTTTTAGTACAACACCAACAAGTTCACTGGCTCAAAGCCCGTCGGAAATCCTTGATGAAGAGCTCATTTAATATCACAGCCTCTTCTTAAGGTTTTCAATCTGTCACTGATGCCATAACTCAAGTATTCTAACCCAAGAGGGAAATTAAGGTAGCAACATTTTTAGTATTTCATTTTGCAAGCTGTGTTATTACACAGATAAAAAAGACAAAACCTACCTGGCTTTTCCCCAAATATGTGAGAAGTTTTATGTTCTCTTTACTTAAAGGAAAAAATTTCAAAGGAATGTCAGTATCACATTTGATAATTATTTCAGAAAGAAGCACAAATACATTACCTGTAACTTTAAAGGGTTAGTCAAAGAAAACCCCAATACTGTCCCCTCAAGAGTCGGATAAATACACCTCAAGTAACCTGTTTACTTGAAACGTTATTACATATTAATTAGTGAATAATGTAATTAAAAATATTAGGCACGTTTACACAGAATGACTTTCCTAAACACCATAAATGAAAAGCAAACTCCAAAATATTTGGAGTGCAAGAGATGCGTTTTATTGTATGCCCGTTACGATGAGTAACACATTTAGAAATAATAATCCCACATAACAGTGACAATCTTATTTTACAGCGTGTACATAATTTTTTACAGCCACATAAAACACGTATTTTCCTAAGAGATTTCCAAAATTTAACTTTCTGAAGTTTAGAAATATAAAAAAAATTTATTCTCAAGGAACTGATTCTCATCTGGTGCAAAAACAAAATATGAACATTATCTGAAACACAAAGCCACAATATAGCATGAAGTTACAATTTATCATGTGAACAGCTGTGTGCAAACATGAAGCAACTAAAAAAGTAAAAAATACACATTATATGCATAACATTTATGAACAGGTTTTTCATTAAATAGCCCTAGACCAGCTTGTTATATTAAGCGCCATTTGATTTGCAGCATGCTAACACAAAGCATTGTTTAAAGGGATGCATATTTTAAATGTATACACCGTAAACTGAAGATCCACCTCCAAACTCTAGTGGCAGCAGATTTTTCTGGTTAAATACTGCATATATACTTTCTTACAGATTGAAAATGCATGTTTATAGCATGGTATACATTTTTTTTAAAGAATTGATTAAAAGGTGCAATTTTATGTCTATATTGAAAATTTCGTATCAGGAGGCAGGACAGTAGTAGTCCTACCTGTTAAGAACACTGCCCTAAAGAACTTATAAGTACTTTGCATTTTAATGAAAAAACTCCTACATTTTGTTTTAAATATTCTTTTTAGAGACGATTTTAAAGTAGCGAGAAAAAAAATTAGTGTTGTCACAACACTATGAGCTGCATCCATTTTATCCTTAAAAAAAAAAAAGTCAAATTCAAAGTTAATTTTGTTATATGTGCCATACTGAACAACATTCAACTGGAGTTTCAGATAAAAAAGGGAAATTATATACATACACATCTTTAACCCTAGCACCAGAACACCACCTTTGAGATTATAACATAATGCTATATTTCAAACATCATATCCTGCAATAAAATAGGTTAGCAGCTTTGAAAACCATTAAAAAATTACTTGTTGGACCTAAACTAATAACGGAAACAAAAAAGTTTCCCAATGAAATGTTTAAAAAAAACCCAAACAAACAAACAAAAAAAGGGGACACCCCCCCAAATTTGACCAGTTCTGGAAATTAATTTCCAGGCACGATTTAAAACCGTTATGATCAAGTGACTGACTAATACTTGCCTTTCAAAACTGCACAAGAAGTTAGACTCGTCGCCTTTGAAAACAATTTGTAAACAACCCCACCACATATCTGAACTGTTTTCATATTGGAGACAAACGCTGTTACCGACAAAATGGATAACACAATCACCTCTGTTTCGCCTTCTACAGCTTAACAATGTGTAATACTATCAATTTGAAGACATTCATCCATCTTTTTGCAAATTTAAGACATTCATCCATCCTTCTGCATTCTATAGTGCTCTTTAGGTTCTGATAAGCAACAATCATAGGGCTATGAGATCCCCTGTCAACCCTAATACTTTTTAAGACTTTTAATACAAAGAATGTAAAGTTATGATTTAATATCAAGCTTTGAAACCAGGAGAAACAGTTCATGAGATTTTTATTTTCCCCAATTAGCATATCACAGTTTCTAAATTGCTTCCTTCTCGAGCTCCTATATTACATTATGGCCTCTTTGTGGTGCCTCATTATATGCTGATTTTTTTCGGATGGTCTACGGAATCCCTTTTTGCAATACTCACACCTATGGGGATAGTCTTTTGTGTGTATTGATATTACATGCCGTTTAAAGCCTGACGCATCCGTAGTGCTATATTCACAATACTGGCATTGATAAACTTTTCTTCCACTGTGGGTCTTCATGTGCTTCTTAAGTTCATTTTGCTGCCTAAATCCTCTTTTACATCTTTTGCATTTAAAAGGCAGGTCCTTGGTGTGAACTGAGAGGATATGCCCACTAAGTACAAAAGGATCTGATGTTTTGAAGTCACAGTGTCTACACTGATGTATCTTTTTACCTTTATGTGTTTCACTATGCTTTTTGAGCTCAGATGGACGATGGAAGCCTTTTTCACATACCTCGCACTTGTGGGGAAAATCCTTTGTGTGAACTGAAATAATGTGTCGCTTCAGGTCACTTGAGTTGGTGCTCTTATGGTCACAATGTGGACACTGATGAGTCTTATGCCCTTGAAATAATTCTGTGTGCTGCTGCAGTTCTTTTTCATCTGTAAACGCCTGGGGACAGTGCTCACATTTAAACGGCAAATCAGTCCCATGTTTGGTTTTGATGTGAGTTTTCAGATTGGACTGATCAGCACACCTGAAGACACAGTGCTGACACTGGTATGGCTTTTCCCCAGTGTGGGTCCTCATATGCTTTTTCAGCTCTGATGGGTGGCGGAATCCTTTCCCACACTCCACACACACATGAGGGAAGTTCTTACTGTGAACTGCAAGCAGATGTCTGTTGAGTAGTCCCTGCTCTGCAGTCTCATAGTCACAATATTTGCACTTGTGTAGCTTAGGCTCCTTGTCCCTCAGTATTAGTTTATTAGAACTCAACGGGCTGGCTTCTCTGTATCTTCTTGTATATTCTGTAAACTCATGGGTTTTATCAACTTTATTTATAAGCTTATGGCTTTCCAGATGATTGTGGAAACTTACTTTTTTGTTAGTTGTAAAGTCACAGTCTGTACACTGGTATTTCTTCTTAATCATATGATCTGGATGGTTCTTCATATGCCTTTTCAAGAATCCTCTGGATTTAAATTTTTTCCCACAAATATGACAAGGGTAAACTGTTAAGGGCTGTCCATCAGGACCTATTATAACAGCTGTTTTTAAACAAACAAAAACAAGTTATGAAGGAAACAAATTTCTGGATTAAGAAGTTTTAAATCAGCCAACTGCTGTTCAGATTCATGCACTTACACTTGCAGCAGACAGAGAATGGGTCAGTAGTTTAAAAACAACCAATCCACAGCACCTACAGTTTATATAGTCTTGTTTTAGAAACTGCTCGAACAGACCAGTAATACCATATGTGCAGTGAATACATCCATGATTACTTTTTAATAGCTTGCAAAATTCAAATGAACTGCATCAGCCCTAAGTGTATTGACTTTGAATGGCAAAAATTATTACATTTTCTATGCACAGAACTGGAGGGGGGAAGGACACAGGAAATATGCAAATCACCATTTATATTTTTTTAATACTGCATCAGCTTAAAAAAAAAAAAAAAAAGAATAGTGCAGGAGTAAGTGCCACTCCATGACAATACGCATAACCATACAGTGTTTACCTGTTTGCCATTGCCTGGCCTCTCCTCTCCTCCTTTTCTTGGTTTTTTGTTTTAGCACTCTACTAGTGCTAATGCTATCACAAATCTGCAGGTATTGTGTTGCATTACCGTTTTTGTTTTCTAATCGTGTATCCAAGTTATTTCCTAGAAACAAAAATTAGACACCATAAAAAACCTTAAACAACTTTTTTCTTCGGGACTGATGACTGGAATTGCACAGCAGCACATCTATTCTTTTTAAAAAAACACCGCCCGTTCCTCTACAATGAACATCTATAGAAGAGTGCCAGTCTAAAGCACTATCTACCTACGTTGACAAAAGTCAAGAATTTCATTGTTTAAACACTGACATACTGATACATTCCTCGATTTCTCATACTTCTCAAGGCATTCATTTCTTATGGGTTACACTGGTGTTTTCTTTTTAATGAACTTGGGTTTACGTCTTAACAGCTGCACTATCTGACCACAAAATTGCATTAAAAAGCCTGGCAGACCCTCCCACCTTCCCCACCCACTCTGAAGGCCTACCACACATCTAGAATTGTCTTCACTTCAAAATAACAGAGAAAGACTGTGAAGTCCTTCAATATATACTTTAGGGATAATCGTCTGCATTCACTGATCAGCAGAACTGACACGTAAATGTGTGCATTTTCAAAGACAGCAAGTTAGTTTCAATGCTGTACCAAGCACAGGTACACGTTCTTACCTGCCGCTTGACCATCTTCGTATCTTCTGGGTAGCCTTCTTTCATCTCCTGCAGAAAATGGTATTTTAGTCATTATAAATTAAAATTATTTTTGAAGACAATGGCTTCTGTCTGATAATGACAGAAAACTAACTTGGCTAACAAGGAACAGCTTAATTCTATCCAAACTGAGATGTGCGGTTCACAATCAGTTCAGTATTTTATAATTATGAGCCCCAGGAAATAAAATCACATCTTTGTGAATAGTTAATATCCACTAAAGCTGTGTTTGCACGCTTACCATGCTGACTGTCTTTCCTGCTTCTCATAATTAATACGGTTGTTTCTGCAAACTTTTAACCTCATAAATAACCTCAGATACCAATCCAGAAATGAGGTTATCTGAAATCCACAATTTGTTCTTGAGATCAAAGTACTTTATCTTTCTAGAGTACAACTAGGCAGGTAAGGAAACTTGTACCTTATCAGCTGCTCAGCACTCATCTATATGAGGCACCACAAAGTTCTGGGGGACGGAGAAGTAATACCTTAAGAGTATATTCCTCAGTTTGGATTGCTATGTGCCAAGGCTCTGTGGCTCTAAACCACTTTATCGGCCCAACTACTGTGCTCAGAAATATTACACGAATGAATTTTAACTAACTGTAACATAAACCACAGAAGACCTGATACTCTTTTAATAAACACCTAACATGCCAAAATCTGAGAAAAGAACAAATATGAAATAAAAGGATATTCAGAATTCACAATATGTCCTGATAGGACACTTCTACTATTTGAAGCATGGCCACAGAGGACAAATTACATTTTTTTTTGTTTGTTTCTAATATGAAGGACTAACAGGCTTAAAACACATATATAAACTGAAATTATAAGGAACATATCCACACATTTATTCCTATTATCCTCTTTTTAAAGTTATTTCCCCTTCCTCCTAGCTAATGTAAACACTTAAGGACATTCTTGTTTTTGTAAAATCTTCAACAGCCAACTTAAACAACCATTAAACCCCACACATTCTGCACATCTGAGCCAGAATCAAGAACAGTATAAAAATTCTTCTAACAGCTTTTCTTTCTAGTTCAAAAAACTCAACATAGAGCAATCCATTCATTCTATGGAAGACAGTCAACTACTAATCAGTAATCTCTAAATGACTGACAGGCCAGCTCTGGGGAAAAAAGCACCAATGTAAAAATGGAATTGTTTTCTTCATATCAAACGGCAAAAAACCTGAGATCTGATGTGTAAAAGGTCATGAACGACATCAAAATGATTTGTCACATCATTTCATCAACTCCACTAACTGACACTGCTAAAAGATCAGAAGGAGCTGTTCCCAAACCCCTAGGACAAGGTGGGAGATTATCACATTCACACTGAGATTCTGGAAGCTAGATTAGGGAGAAAATAATGGAAGGGTTTTTCAGAAAACAACCGTAGAGATCCCTACCGTAAGCAGCAGCCCAAGCAACAGGGACAAAAGTTTTGTTCACGCCAGAGTCTTCAAGCTGTGTGTCTGGAAGTGATGTAGCTTCTTCTTCACCTACTATAACTTCCATATACACTTCATCTGCTATTTCAGCACAGCCTGGATTAAAGGAGAAGAATAAATCTTTACTTTTATTCTGCTCATCCTAAATTTTTGGTAATTTATTTTGCTCTCACTCTGATTGATACCCGTTAAAAATTACTTTTCTTCCTTTGGTATTTAGAAACCACCCCTTAGGGGATCATTGTTTATTCAGACATTCCTTAAAAAGAGAAAACACATATCAATAAATACAAATCCAAAACAAACAGCAACATAAATTCAAATATACAAACTTATAAACTTCTCTGATGACCTTTATTTGCCACTTTGCCAGAAAGCTGATTAAACAAGGTGATTCACGGTAGGAAAACAGAAAAATGAGAAACTTGACTAACCTCATTAACTTCATCCACGGACACGTTAAATTCAATATAAATAATGAAATGATTGCATACAGTATGCACAAAGTGCATTTATCCACATCAATTTAAAATAATTATAGCCTGCTTTTTATTTTTAGGGAGGATGAGCTTAGTTTTCTACTACTTCAGGCTGAAGAATCCTTCAGAAAAATTAAGTCCTTGAGAATGACGTTTATATTGTTGTACAGAACAGCATGAGAAACAAAAATGTTTCTTATTATGCTTACTAATATCTTCATCTTCCTGAGAAGAGTCCTTAACAGCCATGTAAACCATTTTTTCTCGCTGCATTCTACCAACACCTCCTTGTTCAATTACTCCAGCTACAGAATGTCCATTGTGAAAGTCGCTCTCCGTGACAATTTCCGTCCCACCTGTAACAAAAAGAAGTTAAACACATTAAGTAATTGTAAACAAAGCCACTGTTAAGATTACTTTTGGATTTAAGTATTTTTTTCTTTTCTATAACAAAGTTATTTCATAAAACTCCAATTAAATGTTTTTACATCCATGTCTGTCATAAAATCATGCAAGTTTGATACCTTGGGGCAGATAAGGAAAAAGGTCTCTCAGTGTGTCCTGGTGGATTCAAGACTGAACAACTACTTCCCAAGAAGGATCAAGAGCCTTTTAAGCATGCTAGCAGCGACCTCAGGTATGACTGGAAACATACACTTGCTCATGCCACCAAAAAAATGACTGTCATTCTAATCTTGCCCCAAAAATAGCTTTTAAATTCTCTCTTAGGATGTGAACAGCTAATTCTTATCCCTCTTCCTCTCCCCTATTCACTCACCTTGCAAAAACTGGTTCTTCGGTAATTTTTCCTACAAAGATTCTAACGCTTACGTCTCAGACTCATTACATGGGACTGAGTAGTACCTTATCCTGGGGTCACACTTCTCAAACCACAAGAGAGCAAACGTTACTGCCAATGACTTCAGCAACAAGAACATTATCTAAAGAGAAAGACTAGCAGGAA